TTCAACGTTATGTGAGCGTAAGCCAGATAGATAGAACTGGTGTTTCAACGTTATGTGAGCGTAAGCCATATAGATAGAACCGGTGTTTCAACGTGATGTGAGCGGATGCCAGATAGATAGAACCGGTGTTTCAACGTGATGTCAGCGTAAGCCAGATAGATAGAACCGGTGTTTCAATGTGATGTCAGCGTAAGCCAGATAGATAGAACCGGTGTTTTAACGTTATGTGAGCGGATGCCAGATAGATAGAACCGGTGTTTCAAAGTTATGTGAGCGTAAGGCAGATAGATAGAACTGGTGTTTCAACGTTATGTGAGCGTAAGCCATATAGATAGAACCGGTGTTTCAACGTGATGTGAGCGGATGCCAGATAGATAGAACCGGTGTTTCAACGTTATGTGAGCGTAAGCCAAATAGAAAGAACCGGTGTTTCAACGTGATGTGAACGGATGCCAGCTAGATAGAACGTATATCACGCAATTTCATATTTCAGACTTAACGTTAAACTTTCTGTTAACATAATATCAGTCTGCCAATAATTGTCACTCAATTTCACACAAACTTACAACTTGAATACGCAACCAACTCCAATATAAAATATCTGGTCAAAGATTATTTGACCCTGTAAAAAAGACATCCATATACTTATGGTACTTATTGATAACAAGGTACTCCGCATATTAAATTGAACATTACTCCAAAAGGGACGTTCAAGATAAGGGTATCGAAAAAAAAAATGCGGCGAAATTGTCTCACGGCAAAAATGCTGCACGGCGAAGTTTCCTACACCGAAAATTCCTGTGGTGAGTTTTCCTACGGCAAAAATGTTTACGGTGAATGTTCCGGGTACGCCTTCTAAAGATTTTTCCTTCACGTTGCCTTTCACTTTCACTTTCACTTCCAAAAGCCCTTGATGACTTAGTGGCGTTATCGCCCTGTTTGGGGTGAATTGATTAAAATTAGAAGATAGATATGGAAGCATTTCGATAAATATATACATACTGGTTTAGATATATACATTCATAAGCGAATCTTACACATAGAGAAGAAATCCTAATCAACAATTCGATAGTCATTAGTAAAGACACAAATGAACACTTGAAGATTTCTAGGTAACCGAGCCTGTCAATTAAAAATGTAATACACGCATACTCTCAGCCGTACGCACGAACATAATGAAGAACGTGGATGACGTTCCGAGATATAATAAATGAATATATATGGATATATTTCTCTGTGTGTGTGTGTGTGTGTGTGTGTGTGTGTGTGTGTGTGTGTGTGTGTGTTTTGGGTGTGGGTAGAGATAGAGAGAAAAAAAAAGAGTGAGAAATTAAACAAGTGATAGATGGTAAACGTAAAAAGAAAGAATGGCTACGTGGGGGCCCACTGACAGATTGACAGTAGAACTGACAAAGGATTGTACTTTTGCGAAACTCCTCCATCTTCTGTTCCCGACAAAGCCTGTTATGAACAAGAACTCGGTAAATGAGCTCCCGACAGTTCAGAACTGGCCAATGAGATAAACAACAGATGAATGAGCCAGGAGTGATGACCAGGTCCGGGCCGTCCATCTGCCTGTCCATCACCATGACTCTCCATCTATTAGCACAGTCAGAACTGTGTTTGCAGATGTTTGTTGTCGTTGTATGTTGCGGATTTTATTTGATAGCCGCTCGTGGATAAACAATAAACCCACAGGAGATCGGAAGAAAAAGGAAGATGCTAAAATGCTCATTTTTGCCGGGAGAGAAAGAGCATTATCGGCAGGTCGAACGGGAAATAGATTTAGCACTTTAGTAGATATATACATATATATAACAATACCGATATTCATGTGCGGGAGAATGCAGAGATGTATTGGAAAGTCTTTACCTACTTTTCCTTCATGTATTTCTGTCGACGACTTCCTGGTTTCATTGTCTATGTAATTTCCCCTTTTACACTAATTCTTAATCTCTTCATCATTGCTACTTTCTCTATCTGTCTAATGGCCGGCCACTCCCGTTTTCCGATTACACTTGTCTGCTAGGGCGGTTACAGAATCCCTGTTGCCGACACCTGCTCAGGCATATTTGTGTTTGTATAATACCCACAGATCACACTTTATACTGCATCTAGGCTGAGCGGGAATTTGTTACCGTTTCTGCGAGAGAGCGAATAATCAGAAGTTTCATCTTCTCATTCATTTTTCCTTAAAGAACTCAGTAGTGTAAAACACATGCTAGTAAACAATGGTTTTCCTGACTACCTCACCGACCACCAGATTAGATTATTTATTTCTAAATTAACTAATAACAATATTAAACATACAGATAAAAGCAATAACATTAACATCTTCTACAAAAGACAAATACCTGTCTATATTTCTGAGATGCGGTATTATATACACTAGTTACATTATTTGAACTATTGTCCTCATCTTTGTCGCCATAATTATAAATATGGCGACAAAGATGAGGATAATAGTCCGAATAATGTAAAAAGACAAATATATCTTAACTATAAGCAAGACGGATTTTCCCTTGGAAATATCAAGAAATACACAGCCCCAGTCGATCTGAACAAGAAAATTAAATTAATTATCTATTACACCAAATTAAAACAGCTAACATTATCATCCAAAATAACAACACACCTGCAAAATCAGAACTACAAACACTCAACATTATTTACGAGTTCAAATGCCCCTTAAGGAACTGTGTTCCTGAACAAACCAAACTAATAAATAATTACACATTACTACATACCTATCGAGAGGATTTACGTTACATCTAACCCGACCATAGTTCCATTAGGACTAATTTAAACACACACAACAACCTACCAGACTCCACCCGAAACATACTAGTAGAAAATACAAGCACAATCACCTCATCCACTAGTAAAATATGATTAAAAATAATGTAAGGTGTAATAATAAAGGAAAAGCCAACAATTTGCTGACCGTGTTCGGAAAATAAAACATTCATATAATTTTAAATATATGCATAAAAGACACATATTCAATTAAAAAAATAAATAATAAAATCGCCCTTGATAAAGGCTAAAATAATAGCCGAAAGCGCTCGGATATGCAGAACTTTTGGACAGTTTATACACACTTTGTGCCCATAAAAGAAAACACTTGTACGAATACAAGAAAAATTAAATAAAAAGCTGAATCGCAGTAACTTGTCAGTCGTCTTTAACGAATCATGTATAAAAATGGTATTGTTTCCTAACTACACAATTATATATATATATATATATATATATATATATATATATATATATATATATATATATATCCAGGTAAAAAATGAGAATGAATAGAGTATAATTACAACGTTCGTAAGGTTTAATTTAAAAGTGGGCTCAATATAAAGTAGAGCAATATTATTTATTTTAGGATATTACTTCGAAAACATAAAAATTTCTTATTAAATCAAAGGAATGAATTAAGAGTAAATTGTAAACATAGTTTACCTCTTCCTTACAATTTATTTAAACTTTGGAATTTGATTATGCTTTTTTTCATGTTTTAGTTGTATTGTGTTGCAACATACAAGGATTATTTTTCTATTTGTAAGATTAATTTGGATTTAATATAATTTTGTATTAATCTTCTGGTAGTATTAGCAACATCTTGTACGGATGCTAAACAAGTCATATGCTTTGTGAATTTCCTACATATCTTTTATAGTTAATAAATAAATAGCTTCTTTAAGAAACAAATAAATAATTTAAACCTATAGATTTATTTGATAAATTAATATGCAACTGTTGAATTAAGGTTCTTCATATAAGATGTTAATAAAAATATCCAATCACTGTAAAATGTCAAAATACCAACCAAATACCAATACATCCATAAAATATGTTACTAAAACTACCAGGAGATTAATGCAAAATTATATTAAATCCAAATTAAGCTCACAAATAGAAAGATAAGCCATATATGATGCACCGCAGTGCAACGAAAATATAAGAAATGCATTATCAAATTTCAAAGTTTAACTAAAGTGTAAGGTAAAAGGTAAACCTTGTTTACAATTTACTGTTAATTCATTTCTTTCATTTAATAAGGAATTTTTACTCAATCTGATAATTTCCAATTTTTCATGTAAGCCCAGAAGATAGGTAGAGAGGTAATTTAACAAAATGCTAAACAAGTCATATGCTTTGTGAATTTCCTTCATAAAAATTTTTTATAGGTGATAAATAAATGGCTTCTTTGAGAAACTAGTAAATAATTTAAACGTATAGAATTATTTGGTAAATTAATATGCAATTGTTGAATAAAGATTCTTCATATAAGATGTTAATAATAATAACCAATCGATGTAAAATGTCGAAAATACCAATATTCAAACCTTTGCTGTTAAAACGAAAGAAATATGTAAGCCTCGCGCTGTACTCATGACAGAGCTTCAGGCAAACTACATCCCATATTACTACCAGAGTTGATATTCACAGGTAGGATTCACCAGGCTATGTATACTGCGCCCACTCATCCACATTTGCTTCATATTCCATTAGTGAAGAGGAAGTTCCTCTCAGATAGCTTTTTCTTCAGAATTGTTTTATTTCGGAATAGGCCCCAGAAAGAATACTTCCCAGATCACAACAATGTTAATCTCTTCAAGTCTAGGGTCAATCGTTATCTATCACACTACACTTAAAACAACCTCATTTCGTAATACTCTACCTTGAATGGCTCTTGGGGCGCATATTGTGTGAACAACAGTATAAAAATTGCATGGTCTTTGGTTTGTTTCTGAATTTCTATCCAATTCGTCCACTCCTGTCAGAATGGTGTAAACCAATAAATTCACGGGAATTATACTAATAACAATACATACATACATATATATATATGTATATATATGTGTTTGTGTGTGCGTGTGTGTGTGTATTCATATATGTACTTGGATACACAAAACACACACATATATATATATATATATATATATATATATATATATATATATATCCTGATCATAACCGTCCTCTTCTCGTCCATGCCCCTCAGACATTCCTTGATTCCCTTCGCCATCGGGAGGCCAAACTCAGGCCTTAGACCTCCGACCGACAGAACCACCATCGTTATTGTTATCAATCAGTGTCACAAACTAACGCAACTAGTCACGGCCAGTTGTTCGTTGGTAATTGATGACCGGCATGACGTCCGATTCATTAGCGATCCAATGGCACTTTACATCGGCGGACGTCAGCGTCTGGCCTTGTCAAATGATTTCCCCAAGATCAATATGGCACTTTGTCACCGTCCGGATCTTCTAACTATTCATCCCTCAGCCGAATACCATTCCCCACACAAGACCCCCCCCCCAACGTCGTTTCTCACATCTCGTGTTGCTTTCGTGTCCTCTTGATTCTCCTTGCTCACTACATTTTTATCTTTTCTGCTCATTTTTAAACCTTCTTTTCATTTTCTTTTGAATTTTGTGTTCTCTCCTTTTCTTTACAATTTACTTTTTTATGTTTTCTTTTTCTTTTATGATTCTTCTTTTTCTTATTCTTTCCATTTTGTTCTTCCTTCCTTCCTTCCTTCTTTTCTTACTTCCTTCCTTTCTTCTTCATCATCTTCTACTTCTTCTGCGCACTTTCTCTAAAATTTTTCTTTTCTTTTCATTTTCTCTTTCTTCCTGTTTTATTCTCTTTTCTTATTCTCCTTTTCTTTTGAATTATATCTTCTTTGCATTTTCTTCTTCTTCTTCTTCTTCTTCTTCTTCTTCTTCTTCTTCTTCTTCCCATTTTCTTTTCAATTTTTCTTTGCATTTTCATCATCACCATCATCATCATCATCATCATTATCATCATCATCATCATCATCATCTTCTTCTTCTTCTTCCCTTTTTCCTTTCAATGTTATTTTTTTGCATTTTCTTCTTTCTCTTCCTCTTCTTTTTCTTTTTCTTCCTATTTTCTTTTCAATTTTTCTTTGCATTTTCTCCTTCCTCTTCTTTTTCTTCCCATTTTTTCAATTTTATTTTCTTTACATTTTCTTCTTCTTCTTCTTCCCATTTTATTTTCAATTCTATTTTCTTTGCATTTACTACTACTACTCCTACTCCTACTTCTTCTTCTTCTTCTTCTTCTTCTTCTTCTTCTTCTTCTTCTTCTTCCCATTTTCCTCTACTTCCCATTTTCTTTTTCCTTTATCTTCTCACCTCTTCTTCTTTTACTTCTTCGTGTTATTTTCTGTTGTCTTTTAAATTTCTTTCCTTTTTTTCTTATTCGTCTCCTTGTCATTTTCTTTTGTTTCCTTTCTATTTTCTTTACGCTTCTTGTCTTCTTACCCTTTCAATTTTCTTTTAAACTTCTTCTTATTTTTTTCTTTTTCCCATTTTCTTTTGAAGTTTGTCTTCTTTCCCTTTTCGTTTTCCTTTTTTCCTTTTGAATCTTTTCTCCTTTCTATTTTCTTTACTGTTTCTTTCTTCTTCTCCCTCATCTTCTGCTTTTTCTTCTCCCCATTTTAATTTCAAGTTTCGTATTGTGTTTCTTTCTCCTTTCTTTCTTTGTTTCCTTCTTTATTTTTCATCTTTAATATCTTTCTGAACGATGCCTTCTCTCCATTGACTTTTATTTTTCTTTGTTTTTTTTTCTTTATATTTTCTTCTCAGTTTCTTATTGTTTCTATTTCCTTCTCTTTTTCTCAAAATGCTTCTTTACTACGCCTACTCTTTCTTTTAACCACGCGTCTCGTTTGCATCTTCCTATTCTCTGTACACACCTTCACTCCCTATCACCTTTCTTTCACCTTTGTTATTCAGCACCCCCCCCCATACTCTCTTTTTTTTCCGCTTTCTTTTCCACTCCTCTACACCTGCTACCCCTTCTTTTATCTATATCTTGTTTGACTTCATCCACAACTTCTTTACCCCACCCTTTCATTTTTCTTATCTTATTTTTTCTTTTCCTCTTCGCCATAAATATTTTCATTCTTTCCTCTTCTTTTTGATTTTCTCACCTCATTTTATTTTCTCTTCCCTTCTTCATTTCAGAAACCGCTCAGTTTTCTGATCAACAGCATGTTTTTTTCGTTGTTTTTATTGATATGCTATTTTTAATTATTTGTCTGCTCAGCATTTGATCTTTGTTTTACCTTTTCTTGTTTTTCTTCCTTTCCCTTTTTTCATAGTTTTTTTCTTTTCTTTTTCCATAACTGATTTACGTTCTTCTTCATTTTATATCTTTCCTCCCTTCAATCTCTCTTTTGCCCATTCTTTTTTCTTTCATTTATTCATTCATTTCTTTATATTTTTGTTTAATTTCATTTTTCATTGTTAATCCGTTCATTTTCTCTTTCGTCCTGTTTTTACTTCATTCATTTCTAACATATTTCCTTCTTCTTTTTCATCAACTCAGGCTTCATTTCTTCTTCATTTTTTTTGTTGTTGTTTTGCCCGTCATTTCTCAATTTTTTCTCTTCTTCATTCATTTCTTCACGTTTTATCTCTTCTTATTGTTTCATTCAACATTTTCTCCTTTCTAAAAAAGATATATGCGAATGCAGTTTTAATTTTATTTAAAAAAGTTTTTTCACCAAGGACTATCAAATATGTCGATGTTTAACAATGTTTAACTAAGTTTGACAATTATCACCATCATAGGAAAAAACAGAATAAAACAATTTCACATGCAATGATTTTCAAAACTGGCTTACAAACCAGGAAATATTTTTTACCGTAGAGTAAATGGCCAGTCAAAAAAAAAAAAAAAAATATATATATATATATATATATATATATATATACATTTATGAGGGATGTCCGAAATGCAAAGTAAAAATAAGAATTGCATGGGATATCCGAATAGTAAAATACAAACATTTACGAGGAATATACGGAATATAAAGTACAGACATTTACGAGGAATGATCCGTACTAATATTTGTGAGGGATATCCGAAGAGCAGAACACGTATATCTATAGGTATGTCCGAAGAGTATAGTACAATATTTACCAGGGATGCCCAAAGAGTAGAGTATATATATTTACAAGGGATACCGGAAAAGTACAAATATTTACGAGGTATATGCAAAAAGTAAAATAGAAATATTTACGAGGGATGTCCGAAGATTAGAGTACATTCAAATAAAGATTTATGATTGAAGAGTAAATTACAAATATTTACGACTGTTGTCCGAAGATTTAGCGGACATATATTTACGAGAGACGTCCGGAATGTAAAGTATAAATATTTACGTGGTATGCCCGAAGAGTAGAGTACAAATATGTACTATGTCCGAAGAGTAAAGTACATATATTTACGAGAGATGGCTGAAGAGTAGAGTACCAGGCGTGTTTGAAGAATCAAGTACAAATCTTTATGACTGATAACCGAAAAGTAAGGTTTATGTATTTACCAGGTATGCCTTATGTATGTTCCATAATGTTGCGTAGATGGGAGCGGAGTTGTATGGTGTAAAATAATTGATCCCCTACAAGTCCGCTGACGGCTTAAAACTTTTGTGTGATCACGGGCCGGTGACTTTTGTATGGTCTCGGTAGATTTTTTTTTTTCACAGGCTCCAGAAAAATCCACATCAATGGGCAAATAGTTAACCCCAAAACTGTGTTCAGAACACTATAAAAGTATAAAGATACATTTTTATCGTGAAAATACCAACAATGCCTTTTCATAATGTAAAAATTGCCAGCAATGAATATTTGAAAAAAAACAAAAAAACAATTACCAGCAATACATTTTTGTAAAGAAAATTACTAATGCTCCTAAGAAAATTAAATTTCGGCATTAAATGACCCATAAGAAGTTGATATGCTGCAAAACAAAAAAGCGAACATAGTTCCGCTGAGTCCAATCATTCTCATTTCCTCCGTGATTCAAACAAAATAGAAAATTCCATTCAGGCATTTCACAAGAACTACTAATTTGTGAAACAGATTGAGTGCTATCCTGAAAATTAAAATTTCCTGAAAATAAAAACTGTAAAAAAAAATTAAATTTAAAAATTTAAATTTAAATTTAAAAATTCTAAATTAAATTTAAATATTCAAAATTTAATTTTAAAATAAAAAAAATGGCTGATAATTAAAATTTTAACATCAAATCAACATTACAATTTTGACTTCCTTATCCTCCTGTTATTTATTTCCTCCTACTTCCTCTTTAATTTATAACACACACACACACACTTCATTCCTCATTACCAATTTTACCAGTAACCCTTTAGACTGAGTAGCTCACCAATATTGGATAAAATCTAATATTAAAAACTTAACTGCCATTTACTGAGCTCATTTAAGAAAAAACAATAGCGATTTATCGACCGCTTAAGTATAATTTTCACATGAAGCTGAATTAAATTTTCTAAACATCTATGACAATATCTTTCAAATTCCATGTTTTTAGCTCGCTTATTCTTTAAATAAATCTCAAAATTCTTCACCGATTCATCTGATTAAGAGAAAAGGTTCTCAATAAAATTTTACATAGTGTCACTGAAGCACAGTGATTCTCAAGCGTCGTGCCGCGTCATTAAGTGTAACGCGAAATATTGATACATTTTGGATTTTAATACAAAAGGATTATCCCATATTAGCTAAAAAAGGCTTTATCAGTTTTATTGCAATTTTCTACTTATTTATGTGAATTAGGCTTCTTAACCCTAAATAACATCAACAATAAGAAGCGAAAAAGACTACTTTAAACAGAAGAAACGAACATTGAAAAAATTGTGAAAAATCACCAGGCACTTGTCTCACATTAAATACGTCGCACAAATAGTTAAATAGAAACATTGAAATAAAGTAGGTCCATATTAGTGTGCTTATTTTAAAAAAAAAATCTGCGGTTTTATTTGATACCATTTAAAATACCCTTTAAGAATTTTGCTAAATATACCGTGATATTTTCATTTTCTCGTAGGGGTGCCTTTGCTTAAAAAGATTGAGAAACACTGTTGTAGCATCTGATTAAAAAAGACAGTCGGCATACCATTGGCCTAGCTTGTGCATCTATGACACTACAACGGTAATATATTGATTGGCTCGTTTTCTACGGCTTATCAACCCTTTGCAGGTTATTTAAAGCCAGAAAATATTTTTCAATAGTAAGAATATTTTTTTTTAGTTCAGATAATAATGGTTTAGTGATCCAAATCTCATTAAGCCATATTGATGATCGGGATTCATACCTTTCCCAGGGATATTTGCGCGTAAGGGAATATAACAAACAAAACGGGAATTGGAACTCGATTCTCTGATTAGAAAATCCAAGCCATTATTCATTATATTCGGTTGGTGCAAAAATAATGACGTAATAATGTCGTCTTTTGACGTATTTTTTAAGGCCCAAAAACGACATTATTACGTCATTATTTTTGCACCAACATAATAGCATCTGATATTCTCAAGAGGTTACCCATCTCGGTACTGCCCAGACGACTTTGCTTAACTTCGGTAACCGTACAGGAACTGGTGTTTCGACGTAATATGGTCGTAAACAACAACGACAATAGCATAGTCAATATTATTAGCTATTTCTTTAATAGCTAACTGATTTTTAATACTTTCCTGGGTTTGTTAAGGAATTTAGTTGTTTTGTGTAAAAAAAATAGTTACTTGAATTAATAGTGCTTTTCCTAAAAGGGTTCGCTAAAGTCAAGGTGATTTTTCGACGGCGATTTTTCTCACATAATAATAGTAATAATAATAATAATAAAGCCTTTCCCTTAAAACAATTTTGGGGAGAAATAGATTTCTAAAATCCAGTAACTATTATCGCTCTTTCCAGTAATAATTGAAGCTTCCTTCCTAGCTCTTTGTTCTTAACAATATGAAAGTTTCCATCTCATGAGACTATTTTAGATGACTCGAGTTCTAAGTTTAATATTCTAGTTTCGTCGTAATTTGTGATGTTGGAGAAAACCACTTCTAGTGCAGCCCATCTTGTATTCAGTTTCCTCATCTCCTCATAGTAAATTTGTTATAAGTGAGACATACACCGAGGTATTTCAATTAGTATTTAATAGTGTTTAATAACTGCAATAAAACGGACAACAACAGGAAAGAATAGAATACAATGTTTTATAGTTACCGTAAGAAGGTAAACCGAAAATGAAAAAGACAAAAATAAGAAAGAAAAGGTTAATCGCTTTTCATTGGTCTCCCGTCAGAAATCTGTCGAGGGCAGAAGAATGATATGGAAGACGAATCAATTATTGATAGATCCATTTCTTTTTTGTTTGCTTTTTTTTTGCTTTTTCGTCTTACCTTTTTGCGTTAACTATTAATGTCTTTCTTGATATTCTTTTCTGATATTCATTCCTATTAATCATTTAACACCAACCAAGGCAATAAAGCCACAAAAGATGCAAGGGGTTACTGAGTGTTAGAGAATATGAGAAAAATGTTATAACTAAAAATCCATATATATATATATATATATATATATATATATATATATATATATATATATATATATATATATATATATATATATATATATATATATATACTCCTCACACACATAGAAATATAGAGAAGTGTGTGTGTACGTGTGCGAGAGACAGACAGACAGACTGACAGGAGTGGCTTTCAAAAGTACAAAATGACTTCCCCAAAGAGGGAAATAATGATAAAATATGGCATTCTGTATTTCTTTTATACATAATTGAAAAATGAAACTGATATAGCACAGGACGTACATGCAGTCACAAAATTATCAGCAACAACTTTGATAATTGCTTATGAAAGCCGAAAGTAATCGTAGGTTGAACAGTTTGTATCAACATCTTCAGAGGAAAGCAGTAAAATGATCAGAAATAAAGCAAGAATATAGAAAACTATCCTTAACGAAGAACATTTTTAGCCTTGATCCAAACCTGTATAAAAGAAAAAGAAAAGCTGGGCAATAAAGCCACTAAGACGCAACGAGTTAATGAGTGTGAGAAAATGTAAGAAAAAGAAAACATTATTGAGGAGAGAGAACAGGAATTAAGAAGACAGAAGATAATGATTGACATTGCATTTAAATTTTTGAAGATCAAAGTCAACTGGAATCTAAGAAGCCGGAAGAGAGTTTCACAAGTGAGAAGTGCGATAGTAGAAACTGTTAGCATAGAACTTACGGTTACGTCTCGCCATTTCAAATGTGAAATGAGGGGCCTCTGCTGCCAATCTAGTACTGCGCATACTTTCATAAAGTCTCGCTAGCATAGAGGAAACTTCATCAGAACTATTACCATGAAAGTATTTATAGGAAATGCACAGGATAGCTACGTTACGGTGATGGGAAAGTAACTGGAGATGGCATGTCAGATCAAGACTAATAACGTTTCAGATTCTACTAAGGATTTTATTAAGAATCTCTAAATCAGGATTGCCAGACCAGATGTGGCAACAATATTCAAAGCATGGACGAATATCCGCTTTACCTACAGCAATAGCGTTAATTTGTTGCCAGCGCCTTTTCGGGCTCAGGTTCTCTGCTGATATGAAGTGAAACGACTATACTGAATCCACTGCTACA